AAAGGGGAGCTCAGGCCTCAGTCCCTAAGGTAAAGGATCTCTTGTCTCTGGGCAGAAACACATGCCCCTGGAAGACAGGGGAATGTGAGTCTTAGGCCCAAATACCCAAAGCAGGAAATACTACATTCCTTAAAAGCTCCCATGACTGGGGTGTATGTCTGTTGTGCGAGGTGAGGTGACAGTGCCTTCAGGGAAGAGTCATGCCTCAGATCCTGAGGTGGGAAACAGGCCTTCACTCAGGCAACTGCAAACCTTTGAGGGGAGACTCAGCACCCTGTCCCTCAGGGCCCCGGTATCTTGACCCGAGAGAAGAGCCTCAGGGCTCGGTTCTGGTAGGATCGCCTACTCCTGAGGAGATCCCTGAAGAGACTGCTCAGATCCTGTCTCTCTCAGGACAGCCACTGGAGCGCAGTGGGTTTCCAGTCCCTGAGGAAAAGTTCCAGTGTCCTCGGCAGAGTGGGCCTCGGGCCCTTCAAGTTACACTAAAGAGCCACAAGGAGGCCTCAGACAGCATCTCTGGGACCCCCATACTGCCCATGTCCCCTGAGGCAGGCTCGAGTTCCCAAGACAGAAATTTAGGCCCTTGTGACAAGAGGGAGCCCTCAAACCCCTATTACAGAGAAAAAGACAGGCTGTTAAGTCCCCAAGGTGTATTTCAGTCCCATAGAATTGAGAAAGACCTTACACCCATGCGTGTGTGTGTGTGGCGGCTAGGCCTCAGAGCCCTGAGAACACTCGGACGCCAGTCCATGAGAAGAACCATCTCCTGAGAAACTCACCTTGCCCGGGACCTCTGCTGGGGGATATCAAGCCCCTGAAGAGGTCTCAAACCCAGCCTAAAAAAACCCCCAGCCCTTAAGCAGCAGACGCCTCGGCCCCAGTATCCAAAAGCTGTGGGTTTTTTCCCCTTGACAAAAGGTTGAGCGCCCCCTCCCCCTGGGGTGGGGGCATCTCTTGAAAGCCGGCAGCCTCAGGCCACTGGTGAGAAACACAGACCCTTGTCGCTCAGAAGAGATATATCTCATGTACCCAGGCAGTCTCCGGGCAGGCCCTGGGAGTTGTTTTTAGTCCCTGTCCACAAATGGGGAGGAGATCTTATCTCCCCAGGACAAGAAAAAGCTCAGAAGATCCCTCTGCTGTGTGCGTGTGCACATACTCTCATGCACGTAGGCTCATGCCAAGCCCTAAATTCTAGAACAGGGAGTGTCAGGCCCCTGAAGGCAGGCTTAGGACCCTTGAGGAGGGGCCAGGCCCGAGCGCTCCGGGGTCCCACACCATGTCGCCCTGCAGGGGACGAGGGCTGTCCCATGCGTGCGTGCGGTGTCTCAGACCCTTGGGAGCATTTAGGTTCTTTAAGGACGCTGAGACCCCCATCTCTGAGGCCCCCACCTTACGTGAGTTCCCAGGAGGGGGCACTCGCATTGGCCTGTCCTGGAAGGGCGATCTCAAGCGGCAGCACACACACACACACACACACACACACCTGGATTCCTCAGAGATGCCTAGGCCCTCGCCTCACCTGACTCCTCCTCTCTGGAGGAGCTCCATCTTGCCTGTTGTCTCTGGAAAGACTCTCTTGTGGGTCCCCCAAAATGAGGTCCCAGGGCCTGAAGCGAAGACTAGCGCCCCCTTCAAGAGACCTCAGCCCCCATCTTTAAGGCCCCCACCTTATCGGAAGCCTCTACCTACAAGTCCTTGGGAGTGGAGGAGGAGAGTGCAAATCCTATCCCTACCACACACGTAGGAGTGTCAGATCACGCGAGAAGGCCTAGGTCCCTTGGGTCCCTTCTCGGCCCAGGGGCTGCTACTTTAACATGCAACGCCCAGCCTCACCCCCAACCCTTACCTGCTCGACCGTAGCAGGGTCCATGGCCTCAATGCGTGCGGCTGCTGCTTCATACTCGTCCTCACTGTTGTAGCCCGCGCCGACCTCCTCACGCTCCGGGCTGCCCCCACCAACGGCGCCAACCCCAGGAGCCTGACGCCGCCGCTTGCTGTGTCCTGGCCCTGAGCAGCAGCCACCCACGCCCACAGCACCACCTACGCCCACCACCACGCCCGCCGCGCCTACGCCCGCCGCTGCTGCACCCAGTGCATCACCGGGACCGCCGCCGGGACCACCAGGGCCCCCACAAGGAGGTGGAGAGGCCTGCTGTGGCCGAGGCCCCGCCACTGCGCCTGGTGGCACGGCTAATGCCCAGCGGTGAAGCGCGCCCGGCGGCCCCGGGAGCGGGCCCTGAGGCGGCGGCGAAGCCCGGGGACGGGCCCCTACGACACCCGAGTCACGGTCGCGATCGCCGCCACCCACACCCGTGCCGCCGCCGCCCACGCCCACACCCCCGCCGCGGCGCGGCGCCGGGGGCAGAGGCCCGGACGGCGGCGGCTCGTTGGTGGGGTCGGCGTCGGGAGGCGGCGGCTTCTTTTTGGGGAGAATAGTCATGGCGGCAGAGCCGAGTACCCCCCAGCAAACCCGGCGCGAGGCACGCCGGGAGAGAACCCGGATGAGGGGGCTACAGTCGTGCGCGAAGCACGACGGGAGCAGCTAGACCCGGATAAAGAGATCAGGCACCGGTTCGAGAACCGTCGGCGGCGCGCAGGTCACGCCGGGAGGAAAACCCGGATGTGAAGTCTAGCACGAAGGTACAGCGGCGGGCTTGTCGCAGCCTTCTCTCCGGCGAGACTGTCGTAGCTGAGCAAGTTTACGGCTACGTTCGTTCCGGCCTTCGGCTTCAAAGGAAACAGAACCAAAACAAGCACCTCTTCGCTCCGCCCCCTCCCAGGTTCTTGAACTACCGGGTGGGGCCCCGGGGCGCCGCGCATGCGCGCCAGGGCACAGCCCTGCCCGTCGCTCGGAAGTACGTGGGCAAGATCTCCGCCACCGCCACAACAATTGCGGATGCCAACCAATCAAAGCAGCTGCGTAGGTCCTCGACGGCGCCCCCGGCCAATCAGAGGCAAGCGGTCGTCCTCCCGGGCCCTCCGTCTCAGATTTCAAAGTCGGCACTCTGGTTCCCAGCGTTTCTTTTTGTCGGTCCCGTCATGCTCGTCAAGTCTCTCGTGGAGGCTCTGACTCGCAGGCGTGGGTACCGCGAAAGAACAGCGTGGTCTGTCCCGCGCACGATAAAAGCGCCGCCCCTCCAGGCTACCAACTTGAACACAGTCACCCGGACTGGAAAACATCAACACTCCCAGATCACAGCAGTCCCCGTATCGTCAGTTCCGGTCCCACCCACCTACAAATCCCCTTTGGCCGGAGAGGCGGGCGCCGCCTCACCCTGGTAACAGGCTGAGTTCTACAGTGATTGGCTGAGAGACGCCGTCACTCACTTCAGACAAGCCAACCTCGGGACAGACAGGCACCATGGGGATAGTAGGTGTTAGAGAAACAGACACTCCCTCTCTGGCACCACCGTACTCACCCTCGCGTTGACCTCCCCGCCCCTATGGCTGGTACGCAAGGGCACTACGGCTTTCTTCTAAAAACTGAATTTGCTTGGATCCAGCTAGTGTTTCTGAACCAACTGTGCCACCAGCTAGGGTCTCGCAAGGGGGTTGGTAAAATCGCTGCTGTTGTGTGGCTGGAGACCTACAAGCTAATCCTAGCTCTGCTCTTCCTGTCTGAGTGATCTTTGGCAAGTCATTTAACACCCACTCGTTCTCAATTTTGACTTCTTTGTATTACAATGATAATTCCATCAGAGCCTCAGCGAGTAATACTTATAAAGGGCCTGGCGCAATGCCTGGCACATAGTAAGTGCTCAGTAAATTAGTCTCATGGTGTGTGCATAGAAAAGATCCCAGATTTTAGAGATTACCCTTGTGTAAAATGAGAATGATGCGCGGAATCATTACAGGGTTCTGGTGAGCTCATGAACCAAGGTTTGTGAGGTGAGGGCTCACTGCTAGCCTTCGTCATGCAATAAGTTGACTGAAAGACCATTGGAAAGCTTCTGAGTGCCACCTAACGTTTTCCCTTCAGATGCTGCTAGTCGAAGCTCTTCCCCCAAAGGTATTAGTAATAGACAGGCATCAGTAGTGTTGTCTGCTCAGGAGACTGAATGGGAGGAGGGGATTCATGTTTTCTGGCCTTTTGTGTTTGGGACTCTGAGCCAAATGCCTGTACACATTATCCCATTGAATTGTCTAGTGAATCTTGACTGCTTCGGCTCCCTCAGCTCCCACAGGCTTGCCAATCCCTAGTGCTGCCATTGTTCCTCCCAAGTCTCTTGGCTCTCTCTGATTCTACTGCTCCTACCCTGGTCCAAGCCACCATCACCTACCAGCTGGACTACCACGAAAGCCTCCTCACTGCTCTTCCTCCAGGACTGTTTCTCTGTAATTCATCCCCCTACAGCCAGAACAGCCCTTCTGCAACCCAAACCTCACCGTGATAGTCTTGTTCCTAAGCTTTCAGAGGTCCCCGTTATCCTTACAATGGAGTCCCAAGTCCATCTCCTAGCTTCCAAGGCCTACCTCTCCTCACAGCCTCGTCCTCCTCCCTAGCTGAACTGAACTACTTTCATTTCCCCTAGAACCCTGGGCTCACTCTCGAGCCTCCAGGCCATTGTACATGCTGTTCCCTCTGCCTGCCTACAGCATTTCCAGCCTTTCGTCTTTTGCCTGGGCCAGTTCCAACTCATTCCTTATGTGTTGGCCAGGTTAGGTTCTCTTGGCAGCTACATGCTTCTGTAATCCACCAATCACAGCTCCAGCTATACAGTGTTGCTTAATTATCCGCCTTCCATGCTCAACTCTGTGCTTAATGTGCCCATCTTTGTATTTCTAACACTAGAACGCGGTGAGCAGTTAATGAATAACTGGCAAATAAATGAATCATTATCTCTATTTCACAGATTAGCAACCTGAAGCAAGAGAAAATAAGTGGTTCCCTCACCCAAGGCCTGGCTCCTCAGCGCTCTGCAGAGTTCGGTCATGCATGAGCCTTGTGTAGCTGATGACCCAGAAAAGAGAAGGTAGGAGAGGCCACAAGGAACAGGAAGTCCATCAGACGGAGAGATGCTTTTATTAGGGTTCAGTTCAGAGTTGTTTGCTGTCAGAAAGCCTGAGTTGAAGTCTCCTCTAACCAAGTATGTGTTGCTCTGAGTCTCAGTTTACCCATCTGTGACTGAGGGAGCTGGAACCAATGATGTACAAAAGGAGTAGCATGGGACTCCCTAGCCTGCCTGGTTGTAGATTGGACTCTTCAAATCACCCTCTTTCATTTCTTCTAGGGCCTCATCTTCCAGAATACATCACCAGCCACCTGCCTCATACCTCTGCTCACACCAGGCCTTCTACTGGTTGAAAGGAATTGAAATCAAGAGTGTTTTCAAACCCCCACCTTGGCCAACCCAGCCCCCAAGCCCACAGAGCCAACAGATGCTCGGTCCCCATCTCTCCTCTCAGGTTTTATTGACCGATGGAAACTACATCTTTGTCAGCCGCCAGCTCTGTGGGGACAGCGCTGGGGACAGGGAACCTGAGATGATGCCAGATTTCAGCCTGAGAGCAAGAATTCTGGAAGGTGACCCCGGAGGGAGGCGAGAGGGGAATTTGTGAAAAGGAGTGGGTGACGGGGCTGCGAATCAGAAGTTCCTCCTGCCTCCAAAAGCTCCTAGAGTTCAGGAACAATCCAGGCCTCAGCCCGTGATGTGTCTGTGCTGCTGCCCAAGAACATGCCCATGATCTCCAAACACAGTCCAGCACCTGCTGCTGCCAGGCTCTTATCTCAGCCAGTCCAGACTCCAGCCCAACCCAGGAAGGAGGAGAAAGGAGGAGGGGTAATCAGAGGTGGTCCTCCAATCAGGGCAGACGTAACTACTGCAGCAGACCGGTCAGAGGTGTTGCATAATGTCATGGCAGCAGCTGCTATTGCTAGAGTTTGCCAGGGGCCTAGTAGACGACAAGGTTGCAGGGACCTGTTTCCAGCAGCCAGGGAAGGGAGCGGTGGTATTTGTGCTATCTATGTATTGGAGAGGCAGCCTGTCCCCTTAGCCAAGGCCTGGGGGTGGCAGGGCACTGCTGAGGCCACAGCCCGTGAAGCCTGTAATTGATTGCATTCCAAGCTTCAGAATCTAGGAATTGTTGGGCCTGGTAGAGGCCAAGGATCTTTTTGGAGGTCAGATCAGAGGCAAGGGGTTTCTCTTCTCTGAACTCCCAAAGCTCCACAGCCCAGCCAGAGAGAAGAGGACATCTCAGCTGTCCCTCTCAGGCCACCTCAACCCACCTCCAAGGACCTGAAGGGAAGAGCATGCAGGAGGCAGCTGGGGGAGAAGGGCCAGTCCCTCAGTGTGCTGGGGCAAGGAGGCCAGGGCCTGTGGAAGCCCAGTGCTTCAGCTCCCACGGGGAAAACTGTCTGGGGTGGGGGAAGTTGCCCATTCCCTAACTACTTCCCCCTCGCCCCCAAGGTGAGTCGTTCCATGGAAGTCCATTGCATAGTTCTCAGCAGGGGGCAGAAGGGGTCCCCAGGCCGGCCCCTGTCTGCCTCCCCAAAATATGGCTTTGGAAAGGAGTCCCCAGTAATGAAGGGGGCCTTCTGAGTGGGCAGGCCCACCCATTACAGGGAAGAGATCTTGACAGTCTCAGGCAGGAGGCAAGGGGTACCCAGTCTGGAGTTCCTGAGAGTGCTGCTGGCCCTGCCACCACCGCCAGGGGAAGAAGGTTGGCTCTCATCTGGGGTGTTGGCAGGAGGGGTAGGGATACTGATAATGGCAGCCACGAAGTCCCGGCTGTCGCAGTTCAGGTCTAGGCTGTCGTGGGGCTTGGCATTGAGGCTTGAGCGGCTGTGGACAAGGGTGGGAAAGATGGGAGGTGTTTACAAAGTCATCTTAACACTTGCCACTGCAATCGTGGCATTTATTGAGCACCTGCTGGGTCCCTGGCATTGTGCAAAATGCTTCTCCTACATCCTCAATTAAGGTGGTGGAGAGTGAGGGTTCCAGAGTCGGATAACCCTGGGTGTTATGCCTGGTTCCTCTTTAACAAGTCTAAACTTCTCTTTCCCATCATCTGTAGCATAGGAATAACAATAGCTCCTGCTTCATAGGCTGGAGATGAAACGAGATGGGAAATGATAAAAAGTGCTCAGGGCAGTACCTGGGACGAGCAGGCACGCAAATGCACCAGGGTCAGTGCCTGAGCCTTTAAAAACCAGAAACAACACCATCAGGTCCTCAGTCCTCTTGACTTTCCCTCCCCATCCCTCTCCCTCCCTCTCTCCCTCCACGCCACCCACAGTAGCTTCTTTGCTGTGTCTCTAACACAGAGACCCGTCCCTGCCTCAGGGCCTTCGCACAGATGTTCACTCCTAGAAACCTCTTCTTCAACGTTATCTGCATGGCTCATCTGGGTCTCCCTCAGGTCTCTGACCACACTGTGAGGACCGCATCCCCTCCTGCACATTCTCTATGCCCCATCCGTGGCTTCTCTTTTTTCTTGGTGCTCACAGATGTTTACCCACACTATGTGACCTGGCTTTGTAACTGACCTGTTTGCTTAGTAACTGTTTCATCTTGGTAGGTTGCAAGTTCTAGAAGGACAGGGATATCTGTTCCACTCGGTTCACTGCTACATCCCAAGTGCCTAAAACTGCTTGGCCTACAGTAGGTGCTCAGTAAATACTTGGTGAGAGAACAAATGGAAACTGAGGAGTTCTGGTCAGGATAAGCCCTTGGAGGAGTCTGGGTTCAAGGTTAACTTGCTAGGCCTAGAGTCATGAAGTTTCAGACTCACTCTTCCAAGCTCCAAGCAGCCCCAGGTGTGGCCAGTGGATGGAAGAGGTACTTACCTCTGAGGGCCAGGGCTTCTCCGCAGCCCTGCCAGCGTATCGAGCTCCTGCATGCTGCCCCGGCTGACTGAGGCAGTGGAGTTGGCAAGGCGGATGGCCCGGCGCTTAGCACGCCGGGGGCAGCAGGAGGAGAGCAGGCTGCTGGGCCCCACTGGCTGCGAGGACACAGAGGTGCTGCGGCTGGTGCGGCCCCCCAGTGAGACAGCTCCGAGGGCCTCACTGAAGGTTAGCTCGTCTGTGAACTCATGGCACTGTGGACAGAAGGGAGACAGGCACCCTCTGGGAGCTGATCCCCCCCCTCCGAGGGCCTCACTGAAGGTTAGCTCGTCTGTGAACTCATGGCACTGTGGACAGAAGGGAGACAGGCACCCTCTGGGAGCTGATCCCCACCCCCCGTGTCCGCTCAGGCGTTTCCCTCCTTTCTGGAAGTTAGTCTCTCTCCCCTTCCCTTGCCCATCCTCCAAGGTTCAGCTCTACTGTGCCCTCTTCCAGGAAGCCCTGGGTGATTAGCAGCAAACCTCCATCCCAGGGAAGGAGCTGGGTTGGCAGCAGAGGGACCCCCCGCAGTCTGCCATGCCACCTCTCAGCAGGCCTCACCGTCGTCTTCTCTAGGCAGTGCAGCAAGTGGTGATGTTGCTGTTCAAAAGCAGACCGATTTCTGACACACAGCGCCTGCTCCTCTCCACTGCCGTTGTCCTGGAGTGGCCAGAGCAGAGAGGTAAGGTCAGCGCCTTCCTGCCCAACTCACTGCCCACCCCCCAGCCCCTATCCGGGCCCTACCCACCTCAAGGCCCCCATTCTGCTTGTACTGCAGGAAGGCGTTGGTGGTACCACTCTTTGCCAGCCGGATCCTTGCCAGGCGCACCTTCTACAGAGACAGGAGGAGACGAAGGGACAGGTGGGTAAGCCCAAGAGTAGACCGCCCTGGGGGTGTGGGGAAAAGAAGGTGCTCATATGGAAGGGGCAGTTACCTGCTGCGCTCGGCGCTTGTCAGCACGCTGGTTCTGGTGGTAGATGCGGCTAAAGTTGGATACAATAACTGGCACAGGCAGGGCAATGACCAAGACGCCACTGAGTGAGCAGATGGACCCAAAAATCTTGCCAGCGATGGTGCTGGGCACCATGTCTCCATAGCTAGGGTAGGGGGCAGAGCAGGTAGGCCAAGGTGAGGAAATGTGTCCACCCACCTCTCAGTGCCCCACTCCATGTCACCCGACACTGACTCGCTCCTGCAACTCTGGCCAGGCACCCAAACTCTCTGAGCCTCAGTTTCTTGCCCTGCAGAATGTGGGGAAGGACCTTTTTGGCCAGCAGTAGGGGGTCATTTGAAAAACAGGCCTGGCTCTCTGCCCCTACCATCTGCTGCCACCATCCGAGCTATGCACTGGGCATCCGAATCAGCTGGAAACCTGTTCACACCCAGCAGAGGGGAGAACGAGGAAGTCACAGGCGGTAACAACAGCCTCCACGGGCGAGAGTCCCTCAGGCCAGCTGAGGTGAACAGCATCCCAGAAGGAATGTTCTGTTGGTTGTATCTGCCTGCCTCTCTCTGTCTTACGCTCTCTAGGCAGCACCCCTTCTTACTCCCCCCAGGGAAAACCTTGAAAGTGTCCACGGATAAACAAATTGGGGAGGAGCCTTGAAACCCTCATTTCCTGCCCCCGCTCTTCCATGGAGATGGAGTAGAGCCAAGCTGACTCACTTGTTTCACAGAGAGGTAAACGGAAGCTCTGGGAGATTCCATAACTGACTTGCCCAAGACCACACAGCAGACCTGTGTCCTACCACAGCAGCAATCAGAACTCCGCCATAGAAACACAGCCTCTGCAGGCTTCAGCCTCTAGGCCTCTGCTCAGGCTGGCCCTGGGTTGGCTCTGCCTGCTTGCTTCGTGTATTTTGACTCATTTTAAGCATTCAGGACTCTGCTAAGAAGTCCCTCCAACTTGGCCATCTTGGGCTCTGTGATGTGTCATCCCAGACCGTGTCCTCGACCGTGAGACACGGACAGCCATCCACCCTCACAGAGTGGATGAATAGGATAAAAAGGACTTAATGGGGTAAAAGGCATCAAACACCCAGTACCAATCCACTGTCAGGGCTCAATATTTGTTGATCTCATCCTGAACCTGTAACCAGAATTAATTTCCACTCCTTAGAAACGCTAAATCTATTTTTTCTGTACCTGTATTAAGGTACTGAGCAAGGCCAATTCATTGAGTCATTCATTCACCAAGAGATACTGAGCACCAACGGTATACCTAATCGCAGTGATGGAAATTTAGAGAAGAACCACAGCGGCTGCCCTAGATGACGTGTTTAAGAGTGTCATGGGTTTGGTGAGTCCATTTGATACTTTTATCCCAATCTCAGAAATTGGCAGTTAAAAAAAAAATCTTGTTCTGGGAACCATCAAGGAATCACAAAGCCACAGAAGCAGTGTCCCACACAGCAGAGAATTCTAGTAGATTGGGAGACATGGGTTCTTGGAACAGAAAAAAGAGCGATAGAAAGCCAATGCCCGTGCATCCTGCACCAGAAACATTCAGAAAACGTTCACAGCCATGATATCAGTATCCTCTGTAGATAAGAGGGAGTCATCAGTTCCCATTTTACAAAGGGGGAAACTGAGGCTCTGAGAAAATACCAACAGAAAAAGAAGCAAAGACAACCCTCCTACCCAAGTCTCCTGACCTGGGAAATCCAGGTATTGTGAGAACTGGGAGGGGTTTCAAGACTCGTGTCCAGCTCCCTCAGTTGTTACCTAGGAACAAGTGAAGCACCAAAGGGGAGAAAGAGGTCCTTCACTCGGCCAGCCTTCCTAATTTTATAGCAGGGGCGAGTGTGGTTGATGGGGCAGCTCCTAACACAGGCTCTACACTCACCCGAGTGTGGTCATGGTGACAATGGTATACCAGAAGGCCGCCGGGATGCTCGTAAAGTTGGTCTTGCTTGTGCCCTTCTCAGCATAGAACATCACAGTGGCGAAGATGATGATGGCCATGGTGAGGGAAAAGAGGAGGAAGCCCAGCTCAGAGGCACAGCTCTTGAGTGTGTAGCCCAGAATCCGCAAGCCCTGGGAATGCCTGGAGAACTTGAAGATACGGAACACCCGGAACACACGCAGGGTGACGAAGGCGCCAGAGACATCCTCGTTCTTGGGCACCAAAAGCCCAATGTAGTAGGGCAGGATGGCCACCACATCGATGAGGCTCATGACACTCCGCAAGAAGCGGCAGCGGCTGGGTGCGGCAAACAGCCGCAAGAGATATTCACCTGTGAAGATGAGCACACAGGCTGTGTCCATGCAGAAAAAGGCCAGTGGGAAGCGGTCGCCACAGGGCTGCTCCCTCGGGGGCCGCCGTGCAGGGCCCCGGCACGGGATGGTCTCCACCACATTGGCGATGACCGACACGGCGATGAAAAAGCCGGTCACGTAGTAGAAAACGAGGGCTGCGGTGCTCGTGTGCGGGTTCTCAAAGGCCCGCCACAGCCGCTGCCGGATGGAGCTGCCAGCCGGCAATGCTGGACCGTCCCCGGTCTGCTCAGCCTCCTCGTCCTCAGCCAGGCGCTCGGCGTTCTCCTTCTTGCGGTCCCGATACTCTTCAAGGCAGCAGTCACCCACAAGCTCGGGGACCAGGCCATAGAAGGCCAGCTCTTCGTCGAAGGCTTGGATGCACTCCTGGCGCGGGCAGTGCAGCCGGCCCGTGCGGTAGAAGTTTAGCACGTGCCGGAACATGTCCGGGTCACGGTCAAAGAAGTACTCGCCGGAGTCAGCATCGTAGAAGAACTCCTTCTCCGAGCTGCCCAACAAAGTGTCTGGGTAGCGGTCCAGCGTGTTCTTCCAGGTCTCAAAGCGCCTGCCACTCACGTTCACCACCAGAACCTCATCTCCTCGAGATGCTTTCACCCCCGGCGCCGGGGGCAGCGGTTGCTGGGCCAGGGGAAGCCAGCCCACCGCAGCCGCCCGGGCAAAAGGTAGCCACGTGGCCACACCTGCCGCCATCCTGCCGCTCCCCTGGCCCACAGAGACTTGGGGGGAGTGGCCTTTAGGAGAATGTAGCTGTCTCCAGGATGGTGGGGGGCTTGGAGAGGCCCTGGGCCACCCAGACAAGGACACTGCGGGGGGGGGGGGGTGTCTAGAGAGGCCAAGAGGAACTAGGAGGAGGAACTAGAGAGATGGGCAGGAGCATGGGGGGCATTTAGAGGGTCTAGGAGGGGGCCAGGCAATGTCACAAGGGACCGAGCAAGAGCTACAGTGTCTGGAGGGGCCACGGGGTGTCTGAGGGAGGATTTAGAGACCGAGATGTTTGTAGAGGGGCCAGCATATGCCTGAGAGATGACTGGGGGTGTCTAGAGGGGCCAACAAACACGTGAGCGGCTGTCACACTCTCCGGAGTTCTTAGGAATGGAAAAAGGGCCTGGAACCCCCTGGCAGGGCTGGCGAGGAGACTGGGGCATTCAGAGGAGTAGAAGTGGGACCACAGGTGCTTGAAAGAGGCAGAGTCTGGAAGGGGCAGGGGGCTTCTAGGAGGGCTGTCCAAACCATCAAGATTTCTGGAGGAATGATAAAGGGGTTGGAACCCCCTTAGAGATGTGGAAAGGGGGCTAGTGCATCTCGAGGGGTGGCTACAGAACCAGGAGCTTGCAGGGAGGCTGAAAGCTGTCTCCGGAGTACCTGAGCTGCTGAGACTCGCCCGGGGTATGTGTGTGGAGGTGGCGGTCGTCTCCACCTTGCAGGAGTGCTGGGGAAGGCAAGTGAGGTGAGCCCCCTAGTGGGACTGGCCAGGGCGGCAAAAGGGGCTGGGTTACATTTTGAGAGGCTGAGAGCTACCTGGGGACTATCTGGAGAGGCTGACAGAGCCCCTCCCACACCCTCAGGAGTCCTGCAGGCAGGAAAAGGGGGCCTGGGGAAGCCCAAGGGACCAGGACTCAATTGGACAGAAGTTGGGCACAGCCCCAGAGAAACCCGGGGATCCCTAAAAACTAAGATAAGAGGAAGGGGCTGGAGAGGGGGGTGGGGTGTTTAGGGGAGTTGGGTGTGTCTGATTCAGGGAGGGGGACTGCCGGACCTTGAAGGAGGCTGGCGGGGGAGTCCGGGAGAAGGCTGGGTCCCACCGTTGGGGGCAGGTCTGGGGAAACCACACCCCGAGGGGCTGGCGGTGCGTGCTGGGCAGCGGCAGTAGCGACAGCAGCGGCAGCAGGAGGAGGAGGAGGAGGAAGAGGAAGAGAAGCAGCCACAACCAGGCCTAGGAGAGAAGGCGGCACAGGCAGGGGAAGGGGGCTGGGTCTCTGGAAAGACAAGATCTGGTGGGACCCCGGGGGACTGTCCCAGAATGGGCTACAGCATGGGCGCTGGACCAGGGAAGGGCAAGGACTGTGACACTGGTGGTCCCCTCCCCCTCCCCATGGGGCTGTCCTCACCTGTGTCCCCGCTGCAGCAGCAGCAAGAGCGGTGGGGCTGGGGGTACCAAGCACCGGAGCTCCTGACCCCTCTGCAGAGCTGCCGGGAGTTCTCCTCTGACTCTCTCTCCCCGCCCCTCCGAGCTTGCCGGGAGATGGAGAGGCAGGGAGGGGCCTTGTGGCTCCCAGAGCCCCCTCCCCTAGGACAGCCTGAGAGGGACCCTGGGGAGACTCCGCCTCCTACAAAGCTGGTTGGGCCTCAGTCGCGTCATCTGGAAAATGGGGGTGGCAGGGAGTTTTGCCAGTTCTCCCCACCTCCTTCCTGGACTCCCCCCCTCTTCCTGCCCAGCTCCTACCCCCCTCTGCCCCCAGGGGGCCCCCACCCCCCACTGGCCTGAATCAGCAGCACTTAGCAGATCCGATCGATGGGGAGGCGTCTGTTAATGGCCCCAGAGCGGAGTGCCACGGGGGATGATGCAGCGCTGTGTCCCCTCCCTGCCCCCCAGGCTATGGAAGGGCAGAAGAAACAGGGCTGGGGGTGGGGATAATTGGTATGAGGGATCCTCTATATGGCCCTGCCTCCAAAGCCAACCCCCTGGCCGTATCCCCCCCCCTAAGATTTATGCTCTGGCACTGGAGCTTGCATCTTCCTCTCTCTGGATGTGAAATGAGCAGTAAGGGAAGTGCAGATGGGGACAATCCAGGTCCCACGCCCCCACCAGGTTCTATCCCAGGCAGCCCCACTCGGAGCGGTTCACATCCAGTGGCTGGCCTCAAGTCACACCTCTGCCCCTAGAGGGCTCTGTTCCTGGGTGGCAGGAGCACAGAGCATGGATCAGGGAGCGCCTCTGGCAGGCATGGGTGGGTTCCTACTCCTGCTGTTCCACTGATTCGCTGTGCCCTGAAACAAGTGACTTGTATTGTTCCCTCAACTGTCCTATCTTGACAGTGTCATCCTAGGGTATTACACGAAGTGCTGTGACAGGGATGACACAGAGGATGCCTAATCTCAAGTACTGAAAGGTGGGTGGTGCTCGGGCCTTTCCATCAGTTCACACGCCCATGTAATCTTCCATTTGCTCACTTACCACAATCCTGCCATGTCCATGTCTTCATCCCTCCACCCACCCACCCATGCTCCCATCCACATAATCACTCTACTCATCCTTCCACCCACCCATCTGTCCATTTAGTCATTACTCCACCCAACTCGTCCATTTGTATGCTCACCTCGTCCACCTACCCATTCACCATCTGTATGTATCCGTTCTCCACTCATCTGTCCATCCACCCATCTTTTATGCAGCCACTCTTTAACTTCCTGTTCATGAGCTCATCCATCCACTTTCCCCATCAATGCGTCCATTTCTCGCTACCTGTCCATCCACTTACTAATTCACCCACCCATTTGTCCACTTACATCTCCATTTATTCATTCAGCCACCTATCCATCCGTCCATTTAGTTCCCAATCTATCCATCATCAGTCCATGCAACCTTCTGTTTATTTGCCCATCCTCCTTCCCATCTGACGCCTCCTCTACATGCACAACTCCATACATATCCACCCACATACACATCTGCAGATATTTCTCCTCTGCTCAGTTTCAGAGGTTGGTCCACAGTAAATACATACAGGGTGGGAGAAGGAGAGTAAGGTTGCAACCAGAGACTGCCCTCCCCATCCCAGTGCTGTGACATTTCCCCCACCCCGGCCCGCATACTCCTCCTGGTTGAAAAGAACGAGATCAGACAGTCAGTGGGTGGGCCCGTCTGGCCAGATGGTATTTTGGCTGCACAGCCTTTACACACACACACACACATGTTGCTAGAACGCTGAACATGGACCGCGCCCCCACCCAACATCCCCGATCCCAAATGCAGAGTAGCCAGGCTTCCAGACATAAATTAAAAAATAAAATAAAATAAAAAAGAGTTGGTCTCTGGGAGGGAGAGCTCATGCAGAGATGAAGGCAGAAGCGCCTGGGAGCCAGGGCTAAGAAGGAGAAATCCCTGCCCCTTCCCTCAGGACCCCACTCTCCACAGGCTTCTGCCTCGAGACAGGGTCATTAACACCAGCTGTCAGGCCTCTAGCCCCTTTAATGTCCAGTCTCCCAAACTATTTGATTTTCTTGCCAGTCCCCATTTTTCCACCACAGCCCAAGGGAAGGGCATCCTGTGGGGAGGGGGGAGGGGGGTGTAGCCTGCAGATCTTTTTAGCTGGTTTCTCCCGGCTCTAAGTCTGGGTCAGGGGACCCCACGCACTCCTTGCTGAGCCGCACAATTTCCTGGGACAGAACTTCCATGTCCTAAGAAACAAACAAGCCATCAGAAGTGAGAGAAGAGGGCAGGGATGGCTCCCTCAACAAGCCTGAGGGTGATTTCCTTCTCACCCTATTCCTCAGTGCCCAGGTGGGTCTGGCCTGGTATGGGAAGGTAGTCAGAGATGCTCACAGAGCCCCCAGCAGTGTAGGGGGGGGCGCTGAGCTGGACAGTGTGGGCATGGGTGGGGAGCCAAAGGATGGCAAAGGACGGGCAGGTGGCTGAAGGGGGGGTGGGCACTGAAAGGTGAGACCAGGAGTGACTGATGTAACAGAGATGTCAAGAAATAGGTAGGAAGACATGGGGGAGATGACTCAAAGAGTGAACAGTAGGGTGAGTCTATGGACTCATAGGTAAATAGTCAGGTGAAAGGTGTATGAATGGATGAGTGGGTGGATGGAAGGAGAGAGGGACGAGCGAAAGACTAAAGTGATATTAAGTTGACAGGAGAACGGAACATGGATGAAAGCATGACGGGATGGCTGATGAATGGGCAAGGGGGCTGGCTGGGAGGACTGGCAGAGGACGCAGGAGCTACACTGGCTAGAGGGGCATAGATGGGCAGAGGGCTAGGCTGCTGGGCCACACTTGCCTTGTGCAAGTGCATATTCTTGGTGAGCTGCTCCTCCAGCATGTTCTGCAGCTTCTTGTTCATCTCCCGGAGGTTCTCGTCGCCTGGCTTCACCAGGTCTCGCAGGACACTGCCCAGCCCGCTGCGGTCTGTGTGGCCTGCTGCCACGGACACATCTGCAAGGGCCCAAGCTGAGAAGCAGCCCCTCGGCAGAGCCAGAGGCGAAGAGGAGGGAACAGAGGGCTGGGGAGAAGCCATGTTATAGAGGGACAGGGGCTCTGTGGTGTAGAGCACAGCTCTGTTACTTACTAGCCGTGCGACCCAGAGAGATGGGGCTCAGTCACAGAGCTAGAAAAAATGCTGTGACTGCATAGGAATCACTGAGCACACAGTAAACCCTTCATCCAGGTTAGCTAGCAGTATTCTAGTTAGGGAAAATCAGGGAGAGAGGGAGACGGTTTGACAGACAGGAGCGAGGAGCAGCAAGATGAGAAATGGGGAGGGGAGAGGAAAGAAGAGAGAAGGTGGGAGATGGGAGGGAGAGAAGAGAGGAAGAGAGGGGCGGGGCAAAGCGAGGAAGAAAGAGGATGGAGAGAAAGAGGTAAGGACCTAAAAGTGGATACAGATAAAGAGACTGAAGATATTTGGAACTAGAACAGTACAGACAGAGAAGATGAAGGAAGGGGCAGAAAAAGGAGGGAGGGAGGGAGGGAGAGAGATAGGGGAGAGGGAGAGGGGAAAGAGAGAGAAAGAACTGAACCACAGGGAGAAGAAAGGAGAAAGGGAAGGGCGGAGACAGAGAAACACACCAGTGAATGAGGGGCACGGAGCGGAGGGAGGAGGCAAGGTAAAGAGACAGAACTTCCTGCTGTCCCCTTCACAGGTTGGGTTATGGCTTCATCAGGAGCCTTGCTGAATTCCACGCCATGAGACGCTGTCGCACAGGACCATGGAGAAGGAGGGGCAGGTGAAGGCTGGCCCAGGGGTGAGGGCACGGGAGGGAGCACTGACCGATGCGGCTGTCCATGACGTAGGTCTCGATGATGGCGCTCTTCCGGCAGAGATCCTCTGCCATGGAGGCGCTGCTTACCTCCAGGTGCTTCACCTGCAAGATGGCCCGGCCCATCTCAGACCCCTCAACTGCAGATGTTGTTCCCCACTCTGAGGAGGGACCCGGCTGCAGCCCCAGCCTCAGCCTCTCCCAGGGCACTTCAAGTGGAGATAAGCAGGCAGGCAGACGGTACCTTCTCCTCCAGCATCCATTTCTCCTGCTGGGTCTCTGCCAGCCGCTGAAAAAGCTCAGCCACTTCCTCATCTGACAGCTCTGCTGGCCGAGGGGGCTGGGCCTGCGGGCTGCTGGATAAGGACTGCAGGAAAGAAGAGGGGAGAAGCCAGGCTTAGCACTGCCCACTCCAAACAGGAGGAGAGAACCAGGCAGAGGTGGGTGGGAGGCCGTGGGCCCTGTCTTGGCGCCCTTGGTAACACTGGGTCCCTTTTGGCCCAGAGCTGCCTGATAGTAACTCCCCCCACCCACACACACACACACACACATCAGAGCTTTATTGAGAGAATGAAGGGCAATCCCACAGAGTTGAGATCCAACTTCTAGCTGACAGGAAAACTAGGAGAGAGAAGAGCCAGCTAAAAACAACCACACTAAGAAGTCAGCAGAAGAATCCAAGAGGTGACATCTTCAACAAAGTTGACATCAGGAAAAGAGGGGCTAGACTTAGAGAGACTTAAAGGATACAGAACAACCACACACAACATGTGCTCTGAAACTGGGTACTGGTGTCCATAAAACCAGCAGTAAAGGAGATTTTGGGGCCAAAAAGAGTAATCTGATTAAGTTCAAAGTACTAGATGAGATGAAGATTTACCAAGTTGGGAAGGTAGAAAGATCAGCTAAACAAAAACAGGTTACTCATAATCTCATTTAGGGTTTTTTTTTTAAAGATGTATTTATTTATTTATTTGAAATACAGAGTTACAGAGAGAGAAGGAGAGATAGAGGCAGAGATCTGTCATCCGCTGGTTCACTTCCCAAATGGCCACAATGGCAAGGGCTGGGCCAGGCGGAGGCCAGGATCCAGGAACTTCTTCCGGGTCTTCCACATGGGTGCAGGGGCCCAAACATATGGGCCATCTTCTGCTGCTTTCCCAGGCACATAATCAGAGAGCTGGATTGGAAGTGGAGCAGCCAGGACACAAACCAGCGCCCATGGGATGCCAGCATCACAGGCAGTGATTTAACCCACTGTGCCACAATGCCAGCCTCCTCATTTAGGTTTAAGAGGGAGTGAGATATTGAAGGGTATGAACTAAGAATTTATAACACTGAGTTCTGGATGGTGAAAATGTGATTTTTTTTTTTTTTTTTTTTTGCTATTTAAGATTTTCTAAAAATCTTGTAGTTTTAAAAAAATCTTTCTGTAATGCACATGGACTATTGATAGAATAAAAAATGTTATTTGCAAGGAGCAGGCATTGTGGTGCAGTGGGTGAGGGTGCTGCTGGGGATGCTCACATCCCATGTCGGAGTGCTAGTTCGAGTCCTGGCTATTCTGCGTCCAGTCCAGCTTCCAGCTGATGTAGCCTGGGAGGCAGCAAATGATGACTCAAGTACTTGGGCCCTGCTACTACCCACGTGGGAGTTCCAAATGGAGTTCTGGGCTCCTGGCTTCAGCCTGGTCCAGTCCTGCTTGTTGCAGGCATTTGGGGAGTGTAAACCAATAGATAGAAGTGCTGTGTGTGTGTGTGTGTGTGACTCTGATTTTCAAGTAGATTAAAAATTGTATAAATAAACCTTTATAAAAAGAACAATGTTTGTAAGAAAAGTGGCTGGCAAAGAAACTGCCATGACAGATGGCAATAATAGTGAGTGGTGACTGTAACTTGGAAAAAGGGACCTTCTACATGGATAGCGTACCTACTATGAGCCACATTACAGTGCCAGGAAAAGTGCAATTAGCTCCCAGATGGCGAAACGGGGGCAGAGCGAGCAAATGACTAGCTCCTCCCCCCATGTGGCAATCTGAATCCAAGTTGGTAAGCTTGGGGCAAAGCTAACAAGAAAATGCATGTCCTGGGCTCAGAGTAGGAGACGGCAGTAGGTGAGGAGAAAAGGGGGTCCTAGAAATTGGGTGGGAGAAGCCGGGGCTGTATGCTCTTCCTTGCCCCTTACCCTGGCTGGAACAGCCGAGCTTTCCTTCTCCCGCAAGATCTCCCGGTAGCTGAAGGAGGAGATGCTACTGCTGTCCCCGGTCTGGGTCCGGCTTGGTGAGTTCATCTCAGAGAGAACCAGCTCCTCAAGGCCTGGGCAGTGGAGGGAAGAGAAACCTGAGCCCCAATCCCCTCGGGTCCCAGAGCCACAACTGGCAGGAAGAAGAAGAGGCAGAAATAGATTTGACAGAGATGGAAAGAGGCAAGAGACACTCGGGCATGCGGCAAGGCAGAAGCAGGCAGCAGGACAGGGAGAGACAGAAACAGAAAAGGTGCCTCTTTAGGCAAACAGCCAACAGAGGAGAGCAAAGCTGAAGAAGCCAGCAGAAAGAAGGCCTTGAGCGGCAAACACACTCAGACTTGGGGGCGGCAGGGGTGGGGGTGGTGATGGAAAAAGGCAGACCGACATCTGCAGAGGGCACGAGGCACACT